TTGGCTCGCCACACCCCGTCGTTACGTGGCTTGTCTCGCCACATCCCGTCGAGACCTGGCTCGCCTCGCCACACCCCGCCGTCACGTGGCTTGTCTTGCCACATCCCGTCGGGGCGTGGCTTGGCTCGCCACACCCCACCAGCAGGCCTGACTGACTCTGTTCTGGTTCCGCTCCTTGAGGAAAGATGTTGAGGGCTCTAACGACAACCGATCGGAAGGCTTTATTCTGAAAATTTGGAATAGAAGAAAAGTCTACACCCGACCGGCAATGAAGTAACAGCAAAGACATCAGGGCTCTTTTATGGCTCAGGGCTGGGTCAAGGCTAGGTGAAGGGAAGGGTTTCATTGTCTCATTCCACGTATACTTACACCTACAGAATTTCGACAAGGAATTCTTTCGTTTTTCAACTTAGAAACCAGGGAGTGTCGCTCCCCTGCGCGTCCGACGGAACAGTGGTACAGTCAGGGCAGCGGCTGGAGGACTTTTGTGTTCCCCATCCCTGGTTGTGGTGGGACAACGCTGGTCGCGGGTCTCATCACTTTGACAGCTGATGACGCGGGTCGCGGCTGCACGGAAGAAGCGTAGTGCCGTCACAAAGCGTTGACAGCGCAACTTAGACTCAAAACAATTAAAACTGATACCTTTATTACGCCTTAACGGTATTGCACGGTACTACCCAACGTTATTATTACACGCAACTGGTCCTGACATGCCCGTTAAGCATGCCATTGGCCTATGCCTCAAAAGTGTAACGCCCCCTTAATAAAAAGACTCCCTTAATAACGCTCCCTTAATAAAAAGATAACGCAGGGCAAACTATTCCTGTTCAACGGCATTTGCCGTACAAGACGGCTGTGCCTGGGGCGGGCTGTCGAGCTGAACAGCTGTGCCTGGGGCGAGCTGTCGAGCCGGCCGGCTGTGCCTGGGGCGGGCTGTCGAGCCGGCCGGCTGTGCCTGGGGCGGGCTGTCGAGCCGGCCGGCTGTGCCTGGGGCGGGCTGTCGAGCTGGACAGCTGTGCCAGGGGCGAGCTGTCGAGCCGGCCGGCTGCGCCTGGGGCGGGCTGTCGAGCCGGCCGGCTGTACCTGGGGCGGGCTGTCGAGCTGGACAGCTGTGCCTGGGGCGAGCTGTCGAGTCCCACTGCGCCGCGGCGCTCGGTCGGTCGCGCCACCGACCGCGCGAGCTCTGCGTGGCCCCGGCTCCGACGGCCATCAGCTACCCTGTGTCACGGCTCAACCGGCGCGACCGGCGACCACCCTGTGCTGCGTCGGCCGGTCGTGACGTCACAGGGAGGGCGCGTGCCGCCGCAGCGGTGTCGTGTTTTGCGCGGCGCGGCCAGCCGCCCGACCGGCACCGGCACGCCTCGGCAGGGGCAGACCGGCAACGGCGCGTCCCGGCAGGACCTGGGTGGGTCAGGCGGGCTGGGTCCGACCGATGGTCACTCCAGCGTCCCGCAGCCCAATCGAGGTTAAAGTAAAGCGGCGACAGGTGAACGTGATCTCTGCAGGATTACGGATTTTGTTTTGTGGGCGAGCAGTTGGCTCTATGTGTATTTCTCTTCCCTAGTGTTCGCATTCTGGTGGATAAACTTGTACATGGGTCAGCTAAACGAGCCCTGAAAAAGGCACCAGACCAGCCATGACGGAAGGCGTGAGGTCGCACTCAGTGGGCAACACCAAAAACGGCGTTGTGTGAACGCAGCTAAGAGAAAACTGGAACAAAGAAGCCTCTGCTACAATTATCATGAGCAGAGCCGCGGGGTATGATGTTGTATGTCATTTTCAAAATACCAGAAGGGTCCTTTTCACGCTCATTGTTCATTGACTGGTCAGCGTTCAGAACGGTTCGTGACTCGTCGGGCACGGCAGCTCTGACGCGAGCTGGAGCCTGTCTGCCCGGCTGTAGTCTGCGCTGTCAGACTGGTCAGCGTTCGGAACGGTTCGTGACTCGTCGGGCACGGCAGCTCTGACGCGAGCTGGAGCCTGTCTGTCCGGCTGTAGTCTGCGCTGCCGCCGCCATCAGGGCCGTGTGACAGCTTCGGAGGGGTGGACACGAGTCATAACTAGCCCCATGTCACGGTGGTGAAGGTCAATTCTTGCATCGAATTAGCATTAGGCGCTTCGGCCGGCCGGCAGCAACAGTCGCTATAGAACGGCTGTGCTATTCCAGACTCTACAGACACCTGCTAATGGTTTTCCCATAATACGCCGTCTCTTGTGTACGTTAATAACCGATTTGAGAGCTCTGATTGCATTCAGTCACAAGCTCGTTTTACTGATAGCCACGCAATGTAGATCATGACAGTTGAAATCATGATCATCATCATCATCATCATCATGATCGCAATGTACATCATGGCAGTTTATGCCCCACATTGGGCGCACTCCTTTGCAAAAGGTGTGCTGTTGCAGTCAGTTACCTTAAAGGGAGTATCCTACCTTTTTTGTACCTTGCACCTAAAATCGGACGCCTTCGATTTGATCAGTACTACCAGGTTTTTCC